GAACATGAAAGCTCGTCCCCTGAGCAGTAAAAGCAGCTTAAAAACTATCAGCAGCTCCATTCAGAAGAGCTGCTGTTAACCAAAGTGCTTCTGCAGGTTTGAAGTCAGCTGGCAGACATTTTTAACCAAATCATCATTTTGTAACATTTCCTGTAGATACACTGACACTGACAGATCTGGAGAAACTGTTGATTGTTTCTGTTTCATTTGCTGAAGTCTTTAACTCCTTAACACCTGGTGTATCATATTTGTGAGTCTTTGTGAGTTTTTGAGACTTATATCATCAGTGGGTTTCACTCCACTGAAAATCCTAAGTGAATTAAAAATAAATAAATAATAAAAATGCAACCAATGAATTGAAAAAAGCCAGCTGTAACAAATATGACACAAATTAAAGTTCATATATGCATTTTTATTGTCAGAAGCTTCACACTAGCCAGCGCTGCGGTTTCATTTTAAGACACTGATAAGCTCTAAACTCATAATTTCCTACGTGTGTCATGTTCTCAGTTTATCTCTGATATAAACAGCACATGCTCACAGCCTGATGGCAACAAATGACACCAGCCAGGTTCTCCAATAGACTCTGAGTCCTGTTTTTACATCTATCAGTTTTAAAGTTCAAGCTGTCTGAAGGTAAACACACGGATCACAGATAAGAAGCATCTGTGCTGCATCTCACCGAGCAGCTGCTCGGATTAAACTGTCATTAAAGACAAACTCAGAGTTATTTACACTTAATATCGACATGTGTATCACACACACACACCAGAGGTGGGACCAAGTCATTGTTTTGCAAGTCTCAAGTAAGTCTCAAGTCTTTATCCTCAAGTCTCAAGTCAAGTCTCAAGTAATGTCAGGTAAGTCAGAGTCGAGTCTCAAGTCTAAAACTTTGAATTTCAAGTCCTTTCGAGTCTTTAAAAAAAAAACGAAAAAATAATGTTGCAGTTATGCTAAATGTAAATATTAGACCATGTAATTTTTAAATCTGTGTTTTTCTCAACACATGACGAAATAGTGAACTTAGAAAATATACACAAATTGTGAAATTGCACCTCTTTAAAATGCAGCTCAATTAAACCTAGCTCCAAGAATACCGACAGGAAAATATGCTTTAGCAAAAAGGAAAGTTTTAAGCCTAATCTTAAAAGTAGAGATAGTGTCTGTCTCCTGAATCCAAACTGGAAGCTGGTTCCACAGAAGAGGGGAAGAAGTCAGTTGGCAGACATTTTTAACCAAATCATCATTTCCTGTAGATACACTGACGCCGACGATTCAATTCAATTTATGTAGCGCCAAATCACAACAAAAGTTGCCTCAAGGCGCCTTATATTGTACAGTACATCCTATAATAACAGATACAGAGAAAAACCCAACCATCATATGACCCCCTATGAGCAGCACTTTGGCGACAGTGATCTGGCAGAAACTGTTGATCATTTCGTTTTTATTTGCTGAATTCTTTAACGCCTTAGAAGGACCCCCGGCTATTATGACAAGTTACTCTAAATATGTTACAAATTATCTTCACTACATAAAAACATAGTTAAGAAAAACTACAATTTTTTTGTTTTTCATTAAATCTTTGTTGTTTAAAACTATTTTTGGAGCCGTGGGAGCGGCCATGTTTTTTCGTACACAATGCATTCTGGGACGATGACACGTATTGGTTGTCGGCGAGGGTGTTAATTAACTTGCCTACTAGTGACCTGGTTATGACTTGGTAAACCAGCACTATGCCGGTCATGGAGGCTAACGAGGGCTGCCCAAAGAACATCTGTATTAAGACATATGGCTTCAAAGTTTTGGTGCACTGTGTTGCATGGAGAATCTGTAAGAACAACAATATCGTAATTTCACTAGATAATAAAAATTAAAATGTGTTAATGATTTGATCATGCAGTTATGCGATACCATGGATAGCTGCTGCCATAAAATTGAGCTCTTTATGCTCTCAGTCACCGTTGCCATTGGCAAGCAGCAGCCGCATAGACTATGGTTGACTATTTTCATCCTCTCTCGGTTTGCACTGGTTCATACTGGAAAGGTTGAACAGAACCCATTTTCAGTGCGCTGCTAACTGTGAATTCAATGCTGTGCAACAGTATGACATCATTACCCAGAGTGCATTGAGAAGTTAATAACAATGGTAGCCTACTGGTAAAATTGGATTTATATAAAATGTGCTTAAAAGGAAAACATTTGGTGTATTTTAATACTAGGGCTGCCACGATTAGTCATTTAGTTATGATTACGTCGACTATCAAAATTGTCGACGACTGATTTAATAGTCGACGCGTCGTTTGAAGCTTTGTAAGATCCCAAAAGACGCAGGAATAAGTAGCAGGATTTAAGAGTGTAATAACGGACTGAAACAGAAGATGGCAGCACTGCATGTACAAGGATGCCAGCTGCTGTTAATCCACAAAGAAGAAGAAGCAGTGTCTGGTATCGTAGCTGTGTCCAAATTGAGGAACCGCATCCTCCTGTGCCCGCATTTGTAGGCCAATTACGTTACAGCTACACAACGAAGACTGTCCAAATTTAAAGACTCCGACAAACGCGGCCGACAAATGCGTCCTTCATTTCCCCAGATTTGAAGGATGGGTTGGGTGTATCCCTCGTGGCCCAACCTGCCCCAGAATTTATAGCACGGCCCAGCTCAGTTTCCAACAATGGCGGCAGCTAGTTAGTTTTAATGTTACTCTTATTATTCTTTCTGGGTCACAAAATAAACGTTTAACATATTTTCAGGCGAGAATGTAGCTGTGTAAACCTCAAATATCTGCTCAGTTTATCAAGACACCACATATATTCAAAAGCGCTCCGATGTTTTCGGAGACGTCTGTTACCCACTAGCTCGATAGCGAGCCGGGGGCTAGGTCACTAGAGCCGTGAGAACACCGGACTCCCGGCAAATCGTTTTAAACCCCTCAAGATTTTTTGCCACTCTGGTTCAACAGGATACATAAGTCACTTAGATAACTTAAAAATGATATTGTTTGGCTTTTTTCAGTATTTTATTTGTTCCTGAGTAAATCGGTTTGGCTGAGATTAAAGTTATAGTTTTTACACAGCTGAATAAACGTCAAGCAGACAGCTGATTATCAGAAGTGTGAGACGCTTGAGAATTTACTCTGGTGTCCTGTTATATTTTAGATAGCAAGGATCAGACGGCTGAGTTTATTAAACTCCACCGAAACAATCTGCAAATATCATCAAAACTTAATAAACTATCATCTTGTCTTTGTTTTTAGTTAGCACATACTTAAACACTAGGGGTGCAATGATACTCGTATCGACATTGAACCGTTCGATACAGTGCTTTCGGTTCGGTACGCATATGTATCGAACAATACAAAATTTTTCATTTATTTTATCAACTTTTCTCCTGACGATGCTGTCTGTGTTGAGAGCTCAGTGGATCTGCGTTCGACTACTCTGCCTAGGCTGCACTGTCGAGCGCAGATCCACTGAGCACAGCACAAGCTAGCAAGACAGAAACTAAGCTCGTTGCAACATGGCAAATTGAACCTCCCCCACCCTCATTCAGATCTGGCGTTTGGAACTATTTTGGTTTTCATGTGACGTATGACCCTGAAGGTAAGCGTGTCATGGACTAAAGTAAAACAGTGTGTCGGATGTGCCACGCAATGCTCAATTAGTGGGAACTAGTGCGTTAGCACAGTTAGCTTGTTAACGTGTTGCCGTCCAGCCCCACGCACGGGGCGATCCGCGGTAGCTCGTTAACGGAGATTTGCCGTGTTGTGGCGTTAACGTCATTTCAACGAGATTAACGCTGACAGCACTAGTGGGAACACAACGAATATGACTGCACATTTACTCCAACATCATCCTAGTGCAAAGACAAGTGGAAGCAGACAAAAACAACAAGCAGCATGCTACAAACTTTACCCGAGTCATTTAGACAGCTGTTAGCACAGGATTCTCCTTATGGGGACCTGATATGTTTAATATGCTGCTGAGAATATAGCCCAGAAGAAGCGGATAGTATAGCTTTTATTTTGAAAGAGCCATTTCTCTGTAATAAACTCTCTTTTCCAAAGATCAGTGATTTCTCGATCAGATAGATTTTTTAAATTACTTTGTTGTTTCAGCAACATTAAATTAAAAACTGTACGTTTCAGTTAAAATATATATTTATAATTTTAATAAATGTTAATTAAAAAGGCATGAACATTTTTTTGTATTGAAAAAAATATCGAACCATGACACCAAAGTATCGAACCGAACCATGAATTTTGTGTATCGTTGCACCCCTACTAAACACTTAAAGCTGTAAGCTAATCACATATAAGAGCAGATTCATGTTGGTGCAATAAGCTGTACATTTTACGTCCAATGGATGATAATCTGATTAGTCGACTAATCGCAAAAATAATCGGTGACTAGTCGACTATGAAAATAATCATTTGTGGCAGCCCTAAAGGGCACTCAAATGATTGAAGCTGGAAGCCAACGAGTCTCTGGCTGAATATCTGGAACAAGCAGCCAAACTCTGAAAACATCACACAGGTGTGCGGCCTGATACGAGTGAGGCAACCTTACTCTTGTGGAGAAATCAGTGCCAAGATCTGTACAAGACTTGCTGGATGGGGTGGTCGACTTGAGTGCTATGACAGACTCGTTATGGAGAGAGCACTTGCAACATCATGTCAGGAGACATGGAGAGAAACCAGAGCAAAAGATTAAACAATTAACCAAAAGGTTGCTTAAACATTAGATGGAAGAAAGGGACTCAGAGTTTAACATGAACAAAACAAAAGCTAAACAAATGGTGGCTGTATCAGCTGACTTAAAAACAGAGATACAACAATCTGTGGCTGCTGCATTGGCTACACGAGCACAGCCTGAGCGTGAACCAAAGCTACAGCAACAGCAGCCAGGTCCACGATTTGTCCCAATATGGAATGCTGGCAGAGGTGTCGGTTGGTGGCTTTTGGCATGAGAAATTTCAACACAAACCATGGAGTAGTGGCATTTTTGAGCTCAAGTGCATTCATTTAGACACCAGCCAGGAAGACAAAGATCTCCAGCACGCTTACACAGCCGCATATCACCTATGGCACACATTCAACATGGCTGAAGGAATGGCAATAATTGACAATCAACCACATGACTGTGCAAAGACAGCAGTTAAGGATATCAGATCTGCCTTTGCCTGGAATTGGGCACGCCACCCTTTTTCAGCTGAGAGTCATGGCTCTGGACTTTGAGATGCTAAATTCTCATTTCCGCTGTTTCACACTCTGCACCAGGTGACTTACAGCTGCAAAGTGCATCAAGTCACCACCAAAAGAAACAAGTCGTCTGTTGAACACAGTTAAGATTCTGGGACCACCAAACCTGAGACTCTCTGCCACTTTGCTGTACCAAGAAGCCCTGATGATATAAAAGTAGAATGTAGAGTAGAACTGGTGATGAAGGGCAGCACTGCTGGAACCCATCATCCACCAGGAATGACTCCAACTTATTGTTGCCAACATGGACCAAGTTCAGGGCAGCTGTACAGGGACTAACTGCCCTTTGACAACGGCAAAATAGCCAATAGTTCCAAAGCACCGTTCACAGTACACCCCAAGGACTGCAGTCGAATACCTTCTCCAAGTCCACAAAGCACTGTTGGGCAAACTCCCACACACTCTCGAACAGCCTCAAGAGGATAAAGAGCCAGCGTTCGATGACCAGGATGAAAACTGCACTGTACATCCTCAATCTGATGTTTGACTAATGGATTCTCCTCTCCAGTACTCCAGCGTACACCTTCCCAGGTAGGCTTAGCAGTGTGATCCCCCACACAGCTGGAGCACACCCTCCCTTCTTAAAAGAGAGTACCACCAGTCCAGTCCGATAATCCAGTGGTCACACCCTGAGTTCTTTTCTGGACAGAAAATAGTAAAAATAAGATTCTCATTTTAATCAGCAAAGGAGCTGGTCAGATGAAATGAAACGCATTTTATTCCAATTATAATTGGATGAAGGGTTTAAGAGTTTCAGCTCCTTAACATGTGCCACCCTCTTTTTAAAGGGACCAAAAGTAATTGGACATTTGACTCAAATACCATTTCATGGGCAATTCTTTTGTTATGCCATTATCAATTAAGCAGTAAAATGCCTGCAGTTGATCTGAGTTGTGGTGCTTGCATTTGGAAGATTTTGCTGTGAACATACAACATGCAGTCAAAGGAGCTCTCCATGCAGGTGAAACACGCCTGCAAGCTGCAAAACAGAAAAAAAACCCCACCTGAGTGGCAGAAATGGGGATCAAACCAACCTTTTAATTGGTAGGTGACCTGCTCTACAAACTGAGCTACAGACATTTGACTATAGTTTCAGTCATGTGGTCAGTTTCTTTATGGATCAATGACCTGCTCCTCTGATCCTCCTGATAGGATCCTCCCTGAGACTGACTCACCTATTCTGTAGAGCTTTATTTCTGGTTTCCAGTTGACAGCCAACTGCCTTTGTTGATGGTTGATGTCTTCTTTGTACTGGAAAAAAATTCTAATGTCTTCCGTGTCTGTTGGTTTGGTACAAAAAAAGTTATCAGAGCTGAGAGATGGAAGCTGTTCACGGTCTGCTTCTGGTTCACTGTGGTCACTTTCCTCAGCAACAGTCACCATGAAGGTGTCCGTCTCCTCCTTCAGTCCCAGCTGCTCTCCCTCCTGACTGCTGCACAGTTGCTCCTGTTCCTCTTTGATCTGTGGAGGTTCTGGTTCCTCCTGTTCCTCTTTGATCTGTGGAGGTTCTGGTTCCTCCTGGTCCACACTGGAGCTCCTCTCCTGGTCAGAGAGCTGCAGCTCAGGGAGAACCTCCTCCTCACAGACAGGCTGCAGTGGGACATCTGGAGGGATGAAAATAATAAAACAGATGCGATGATTTAAAAAAAAAAAGTACAAATCGGTAAATATCCTCTGCAACCATAAGCTTGTCTGAGTAAAAAAAAATTGAAAAGGGGAATAAAGTCAACTACATGAAGATACTGTCACCTCTACATGTAACACATGTGCAGCCTCACACACGATCCATGCTCAGATTTCTCTTAGCTTGGTCTTATATATAAATCTGATTCCTTAGCTAAAAAAAACAGCAAGAGGAAAAAGTTCAGACTTCAAAGCTTTAAATGATTTCAGCGCCTGCTGTTTGAATGCAGCGCAGCGCAGTCCTGTCCTCTGTTTGCTCTTTGTTAGCTCACATCTCCAAAAAGTCCTCACAATCAGAAACGTCCCGCAGAGCTGTGATCAGGATGCTCCCTCAGAGGGACACTCACCTGTCCTGTGCAGCTTGATTTGGGGTTTCCAGGTGATATCCAGCAGTCTGC